AACTCCCTTTGGAAAGTAATGGTGTTGTCGCATTTACTGAAAGTACAGGAGTACTTCCACCGAGTTTATAAGCTTGTGAGGAAGAACTAGTAATGTATCTAGAAATAATATACAATGGATATACATTTTAAGCAGATATATTTCACGAATGCATCAATTCATTGATTAGTTAGCATTTAATGCTTTTTGGGGGGTGGCATCTCTAAAGCACATACAATGATCTAATGTCAGAAAAATCTCCATGTACAAATTATTATTATTATTATGACCTGAAAGAGAGTGAATGCATCTTCTGCTCTCTGGGAAATGTTATCAGACTGAATAGGATCCAAATTTCCAAAAATGAATTGAATGACAGGAGGGTCATTCAATTCAACTTCTCAGTGCTATGGAATCATAATTAGAAAATTGTTTTTACTGAAAGTAATTTGACCAACTTCTTTTCTTATATTGATACACAACCCCTTTGCAAATTAGTTCAAAATACTGTTATTTTGCTTCTGGATTTACAACCTATGGTGTGACATAAATTCAGACAATAAAAAAGAAATACAAAAAGAAGAAAACGAAGGACAAAAGAGGGTGAAAAGAAACTAAATGTAATTAAAAAATCCCAAAGGACAAATACAATATTGTTTTAAAACTAGATTCTAATATTGTCTTTAGGAGTTTTTGAAGAATATTTTAATATGATTATGGAATGTTTTGTTCTTGTTTAATTTTATTTGTTAACAATCTTGGTAACCCTTGTGAGCTGAGAGGCCATACAGAAATACTTTTAAATACATACATACATACATACATGTATACTCTCAAACATTTTGCAGATGAAAACTGGAAAATGTAGACAAGCAACATCAGTATGTGGGAACATTGGCAAAAAGTTATTAGTGAGAAAGAACACAAAAGTTAAGAGAAACTGAAGCAGTTCGCTTTTGCCTGAGTCTACTGGGATGGGAAAAATTATACCCCTCCTGTTCTTTATTCCCCTCCAGCAGCTTGATTGAGTGCAAGCTACTTTTGCACTTTGAACTCAACTAAGAGGAAATGAAGTAAGCTGAAAACTGAGGGGGAATGTAGTAGTCTGAGAGAAAAAAAAATAGGATATTTTGAAATCTGGTAAAAAGATAGGCCAGCAGAGTATGAATTGAGACAGTGCCTGCTAAAATGGGACGGTTGGAGGGTATGCAGATGTGTTTCTTTCCTTGTTCACAAAACACTTGTCTCCTTTGGTTCAGTTAAAGAATATTGCAATTCCTAAATTTTATGTGCATATAAACGTATTTCTAAGTTTTATCTCTACTAAGAAGGGGACTTGAGATACACCTGTAATGTAGCAATAATGCAGTCTGACACCACTTAAACTTCTCAATGCTGTGAAATCATAGGAGTTACAGTCTTGTTTGCCTGGAAAAATACTGTATGTTTGCTTTCAGAAGCAGGGGGCCTGGAATGTACTTCTTTTTTGTTTTCTAAAATCCTGCCTCTGTTTACTATAAAACTGGATTAAGCTATACTTCCAGGCTGTGCCCTCCGAAAGGGGTGGTTCTGCTGCCTCCCCTCTAGACCAATCCCAGCGTGGATCCTAGTCATTTTCTTTTCCTAGCCAACCAGAGACGAAAGAGTCATAGTTCAAACTGAAACAATTGTGGCCTGATTGTTTAATTTTTTCCCATTGAACATGTTCTATTATGCTTGTAATTTTGGGGCAGGAGCCCACAAGCATCACTTCTTGGCCAACAATGCACTAAAATGCCTCTGACCCATGTCTTTGCCTCACTGGTGAGTCTTTGATCTGGAACTTTGGTTATTAATTATGGTTAACAATGCTTGCCAGGCAGTTCCCTCTCATTTTATTGTAGTCTAAATTCCAAATCAATCACTTGCACTCCCAAGGTTTTACAGGTTGAGTCTCCCTTGCCTGGAAATCTCTCTTATTTGGAAACCTGACATTATAACTGTTACATTCCCCGAACAATAATCAAGAAGCAAGAATAAATGATCCAAGTTCTCTGTACAAGTGACTGAAGAGGTGCTAACAATTTTCTAAAACAGAAAAATTATTTCCGATGTAGATAGTAGGCTTGGGTGGTTTCGTTCGTTAATTTCGTAATTCGTTATTAATTCGTATTTAAATTAGCTTATGATCCAATATTGAGCCATGCAGGAATAGTGTGAGGAGTAATTAAGATTCGAGACAATTTTTTCAATTTATTTCGTAATTATTTCGTAATTATTTCATAATTATTTCGTAATTATTTCGTAATTATTTTCGCATGTCTGGTGCAAGTTTTATAGTTGTTGTTTGTTTTATCACACCAACAGTCAACAACAGAGGGAGAGGGAAGCTTCAGAAGTTCCTCCTGTCCCATTTGGAGGTTTTTTTTAGCATATTGCGCAATCTCATCCGCCATTAACGAATCGATTCGTAATTTTACGAAATTTCGTAAATTTTGAAATTTTTTAAAGGAAAATTTCGGAATTATTAAAAAAAATGAAACACAAGGGCCCCCTAAAAACAATAGTCTCTGAATATTGATATAAATCCACTTAATCATGTTTACAAATATTTCCATTCATTCAGGAATAGGGCATGTACCTTCATCTGCAATTAATAATGTATGTTTCTTATTCTGGAAAGGCAGATCTTGGCAAAAACCATGGCTATTGATCTTGAGGTTCTTGCCACAACTTCTTTTGACTGATTTGGATTAACTTGGAGAACATCTTAAAGTGTGGTATTGGCTTGTTGAAGTACTATTACTGCAGCATTGTCACAAAACCAAGAGCAATACAGCATGAGCCCCTTATCCATGGATTTGATGGGGTGGTGGTGATCTTGAAACATATCCCTGGTGAATCTGGGAATCATACTGTATTTCCAGATTTCACTCTTATGCTGCTGGAAAGGAAAGGGCTACCAGATACTAAGACTCTCCAAGTTCCTTCACCACTGGATCACCACTGTCTTCAACTACTTCTTGTCCTGCTGAAATAGTCCAGAGAGGGATCCATGCCAGCTAAAATTTACCAAAATAATGAAAAAAATTATGAGTGCTGTGACTAGACCATGAATTGTTATATGAGTTTTAATGAAAGGGAACTTGTCTCTAGGTGCATGAAATGTTAGGTTCATTATAAGATATAATGAAAGTGTTTGTAGTGGTGGGCAGTTCTTAAAAAATGTGTTCGTTTGCAGACATCTGTGATGGAGTCCAGGAATAGTGACATCCATACAGATGCTGGGGAAAATATCTCCACAAGTACAGCTGTGCTGTGAACATACACAATGAGGTACTGTCTAGATCCCCACATGCAACAATAGCTCAGAGATTGACACAGAGTTGCTGATATGCCTAAGATGCTGTATCTCTCTTGGCATACATCTTCATACTACAGAATTAAAGCAGTTTGACTCCACTTTAACTTCCATGACTCTATATTATGGATTCATGAGGGCTGTAGTTTCAAAAGATCTTTAGCCTCCACAAAGAAACAGTGCTGGTGCCTCACCAAACTACAAATCCCAAGATTCCATAGCATTCGGCCTTTTCCGTTAAGTGGTTGCAATGAGTATTAATTCTATAGTGTTGATGTAGCCGTAAACAAGAGAGAATAGGTTTGGATCAAACAAAGTGCAGGAAGATCCAACAAAGTCTTTGGAGTCACAGAGTGGACTTTAAATCATTTTAAGTCTAGCAGATTTGCTCTCTCTCTCTCTCTCTCTCACACACACACACACACACACACACACACTCACATAAATACAATTTTTTTAAAAGGATGCAAACAGTGGGGCCCAAAGAATATCAGTAAGTCTGTCCTATTTGTATTCAGAGCCAAGTGTACATGAGACAAGAACAGAGTGCCCTATTCAAAACAATTGTCACTGGTAACAGTGTTGTCTTTCTTATTATGCAAATCTGACACATGCAGAGGGACAAATTATTTTCTCATGCTCATGTAATTCAGAACTCAACACAACTGAATGTAGTAATACATTCTAGTTTAACTGTTTCACACTGGACTCTCCCATTTGGAAACTGTTCCTTCAAATGTGGTGACTGTAGGACGAGCATCTGAGTAGCCTGGGAGGCTGAAATATCCTCTTGCTGGTTTTTCAAGATTTCATTCCACATGTCAGATTTATGGCCATTTATGCTTTTAAGTATGGACTACTGAAGTGTACACAGGTCAACAAAAGTTCACATTTTTAAAGTCTTCAGTCTCTGTGTGTTTCTTTCTCTTGAGCTAACCATTCAGATTTCCTAGCCCTGGAGGAACTACCTTCAGGATTCTGCACATTATATTGTTGATATTTTAAGGACAATTGTAATAAAATCAGGATCACTAACAAAGCTATACCTTTCAAGGCGGAAAGGACAGAGACATATGCAATAGAAAGAAAGGAAAATGTTTGACTTCTATTTCATAATAAATAACTACCTTATAAAACCTAATTTGGTTAAAACTGATTCCTTTCTCCAGGTTTCCAAGTATTTCCTACAGATTTGGGAAAGCAAAAAGTAAAGTTAAAATAATAAAAGAAAGCTTCATTCTATTATTGCCCTTTTCACTTTGACAGAAGTCTAAAATACAGTAATGTAGAACACATTCAATGTTGGGAGTTGAGTTTGTTAGAATGCATCTAGAGGCAAACATAAACCCATCTAAACACTGGTTTAGAATTATCAGACGTTTCATCCATTTTCATGCAAATTATAAAAAGACATTAGAAAGTAAAGCTCTCTCTAGGGCTTCAGTGTTAATGAGTTGCTCTGAGAACAGAACAGAACAGAAAGAATTTGTCTTAACTCCTCTAAAGCAATCCCTGTTCAGTGAGCCAAAGGATATTTCATCTTCAATTAGATTATTTTCACATTATCCATTAGAAAAATGCAAGTTAAGTGAATTCAGCTCCTGCCCACTCACTTTATATATGGGACTTTTCTAGCTGCTTTTTTGTGGCACAAACAGAAACAATAGCTGTCTTTACTTACACGGGACTCCAAGCAACCTTGGTGGTGGTGGTGGAGGAGGAGGGGGTGGTAATGGGGGTGGTCTACATTGACAGATCTGTTGACAACTGTCTGTGACTTTTGCTGCTACAGGCTTGGAGCATGTTTTCTGGGGCTCACCGTGAGCGATCTGCAAAGAAAAAAGATGTAGAAATTACTCTCAGATTCTGTGTTTCCATTTTTTAAACATCAACCAATAGTGTGGATTTATTTATTTATTTACTATATTTATATACCATCCCTCTCAGCCTGCAGGTGACTTGGGGCGGTTCACAATAGGCGCGAAGACTATAAAATACAATTTCAATACAATAAAAACATGAAACATGAAACATTAAAAACATTGTCCAATCACATCATTCAACCATTCCATTTTCCTATGTCTGTTACACTGTATTTGGAAATGCCTACTCAAAGAGCCAAGTCTTGACTCTCTTTTGAAATGTTAAAAGGGAGGGGGCTGATCTGAAATCCTTAGGGATGGTGTTCCATAGCCAAGGGGCCACCACTGAGAAGGTCCTGTCTCTCATCCCCACCAACCGTACTTGTGACGAAGGTGGAACTCCCCAGATGATCTTAAAGTCCCGGAGGGTTTATAAGGGGAGATGCATTCGGCCAGGCAAGTTGGGCCAGAACCGTTTAAGGCTTTATAGGCTAAAGCCAGCACTTTGAATTGTGCCCAAAATCAAAAGGGTTTTCAAAAACAATATCAAGAATTGGAGACTGAGTCACCAGGATAGCTTTAGACCAGAAGTGGGCAACAGACCACACTTTGGGCCCAATGTACTTGCTGGAGATTCAGTATGGGGCCATTGGCATGCAAAGCATCTGTTATAACACTGACCTAAAGCCCTGCCTGTGATGAGCTTCCAAAATGCTCTTGTTTGTTTATTTCCACTCCTGACTCAGCTTATAAATTAATAAGTATCTTCTGGCTTCCATACTACATGATCTTTAACTGGAGCAATGCCCTTGTTTAGCCAAGGACCTGTAAAACCAGACACATTTATTTATTTTCCAACATTTCTACCCTGCACAAGTAGCATGAACTATAGTTTCCAAACCATCTTTATAATGCTTGGTCATAAAACAAACCAGACTTTTAAGGCACGCTCAGGTTTAGACATTCCACAAACTTTAGTTTGGTTTAGTTAAGCAAACTGTGGTTTCATGTTATACCTGAATCCAGTCATTCCTTCTTTTTTACCCTTTGCTGTCTGTCTTCTCCCTTTCTAATTTTCCATGCTGTCAAAGTTAGATTGTGAACCTCTATGTAAAAATGTTTATCTTTGTTTTGGCTAATCTCATAGGAAAAGGAATATACTGTGGTGGCGATGATGCATTGCTACATAAATAAATAATTACACTATATAAGAGAACTGCAATAATTAGCCGATGTAATCACTGAAAACATTTTGATTGATATATAACTACAGATAACCAGGAAAACGTCCCCACATCCCTGGAGCCTATTTTCAAGACAGGAAAGTAAATAACAACAACAGATGGCACTTCTCATTTGGAGGTTGTATACTTCCCTCTCAGGAAGGAAAGCTTTCAAACAATGCTTGTTGTGACACACATTTACCCCTTATCCTCACCGCAAAACAAATCCTCTATTTTTGGTGCATATAGACACTTTTGAAGATTAAATGACCAACCCTATTATATAATCAGCTATGATTTTTAAAAATCAGTTGTGAGGTTTATACACTATTGTAAAAATATTGCCACATATTTCTTTCAGGTAGAAATCCAGATCTATTTATGGTGAAGAATGTCATTGCAAATATTCAAGAGATGATAGTATGAGTACCGTGTAGATCAGTGGTTCTCAATCTGCAGGTCTCATGGATCAAGGTTGCTGAGGAAGAACCTGGTCTTATGCACTAAAATCCAAAAACCTGGCTTCTTTCTGCCTTCCTTAATTATGCAACCAATGAATTATCTTAGGGATGAAAGCAATGGTTTTGCTACAGTGATTAATCCAGGTGATTTATTTCATTTATCTTCCACCTGTCCTGAAAAGTACCATGCATAGTCCTCTTACAACACCCCTTTGAGATGCTTTTTTTTAAAGCCAAAGGCTCATACAAAAGACTGTCACATTATGTAATTGTAGCACTATCATTAATAGTATAATAATAACTTTATTCTTATATCCCGCCTCCATCTCCCCGAAGGGACTTGGGGTGGCTTACATGGGGGCCAAGCCTAGTATAAAAAGGTTACAAAGTACATGGTTAAAAACATATAACAAACAGCTAAATAAAATAATGAAAGCAATAGATATAAAACACCATAAAACATAAACCAAGCAACAACCAACAAATAGTCAGGAAAAGTGGGCATATGCAGATTTGGGTCTAATAGGGCAGACAAGGGCTAATGCAAATGCAGGCTGTTGGACCAGGGGCTGAGAATAAAGTGTTGGAGAGCCTACTAAAAGAAGAGGGCTAGGCAGAAGTTGATCAGTAGTAAACTATTCTTTGAAGGCACATTGGAACATCCAAGTCTTCAGGAAGGTGAACAGGGTGAGGGCTAATCTAATCTCCCTGGGGAGAGAGTTTCAGAGCCAGGGAGCCACCACCAAGAAGACTCTCTCTCTTGTCTCCACCAACCATGCTTACAATGGAGGTGGGAGTGAGAGAAGGGCCTCCCCGCCAGATCTTAGCACTCGTGCTGGTTCATAAAGAGAAATATGGTCACAAAGGAAAGCAGGACCCAAACTGTTTCAATTGGTATTGTTGCATCTTGTGAAATCCTGAGATATGTATTTTGGTGTGACACAAAATCTATGTGGCTGAGAATTTTAAATAACCTTCCCTAAATTGCAAATCCCAGGATTCCACAGTTGGAGCCATATCGGTTAAAGTGAAATCATAAATAATTCTGTGGAATGAATGGGCTTAAGAATGCAATTTTCCTGCTTCTTGGCAGGGGGTTGGACTGGATGGCCCATGAGGTCTCTTCCAATTCTATGATTCTAAGATTACCTGCTAAATCGCAAAGCTGAGTGGGCAACTGTAACTTGAGTTTTTCATTCCTGATCCAACACTCTAACTCACTAGTGCAAAAAACTTTAGTATGAAGATGTGCAAGTGTGGTCAATCCTTTTTTTTAATGTGTTCTCCAGAGATCAATAGATCACCACATCTGAGCTATTCTAGATATTCCAACATCAGATGTGACTTTTGATGACTTGCTTGATTGGGAAATAACATAAAGGCCAGAAAGAGCTCCTAAGCTAAGAGTATACAGGTGAGCATTTTCAGTAACATCTTAAAGAAAAATAAAAGGAAGTGCCAGTGACATTACTCACTTCTTCCCATACTGTAGTTGCTTCTACATTCTTTTTCAGTATCCAACCAATGTTTTTCTTTTATTTTTATTACTTTCAAGTTACAGAATGTTTGTTTCCTAGGCAACCCCTTCTTAAACAACTTTTATCATGTTTGGGATGATATAATCCTGCATGTGACACTTGCCAGAGGTTTGAAAAGTTACTTTTGTGCCTCGCCACTCCCCAAATCAGCATGGCCATTTGCCATAATTGTCTGGGGATTCTGGAAAGTCTGATTCATAAAGATAATGTTTTTGAGCTCTGCACTTCCCTTTCATCTGCTTCATCCTTGCCAAAGGAAGGAAATGAGTGCTGGAATTTTTTGCTTTCACCTGGACAGTACTACTTTATTGCATGAGAAAATCTGACTCATACCAATGTAGAATATATGTTACACTGAATATTGAAGGACTTTTGCCAGTCTGTTCACACTCTCCACCAATTTCAATATAACCTTTTCTATATACATCTCCAGTTTATGCAAAACCAACCCTAAACAGACAGATATCATGAACCAGTGTCGATGTAACCTTGGTCCTTAGATTGCAATTAGAAGATCAAAAGTCAGTCTGTGAATTAGAAAATCCATCACCCAGATTGCCTCTTTTCTTTCAGAAAACAGTTCTATCCATCGAGTTCATTGTCAGTCAAACAAGATATCTGGTAGTACCAATCAGAAGTTTCCTCATTAACATTCTACCAAGTGGAGATTTTGTTTATGCTGGATAAGGAAGAGATAAGCTTATAAGGATCACACCACATGACGCCTGTAAAACAGAAATAAATAAAATTTATTACCCTCCCCTCCTTGTGGCTTGAGGCAAGGTACAACATGGTTAAAATAGAGGGATAAAACACAACACTATTAAAATACATATAGCAAGATACACACAAGTATAATGAAGGTTAAAATTGACAAAACTGAATTCTGGAAGAGATAAATCTTCAACTCAGTATTAAATTCTGACAGCTGATTTAGGGATCAAAGCTCTTCCAGCAAGCCATTCCACAGTTTTGGGGTGGCTGATGAAAAGGTCCTCTGGATGATGGTTGCCAGTTGGGTTCTGGCTGGTTGGAGCAGATGCTTCCCAGAGGACCTCAGTGCGTGGGATGGGTTGTATGGGAGGTGGGAATTCTGTAACCTGGACCCAAACCATGTAGGGCTTTAAAGGTTTTGTACTTTGTTCAGAAACTAACTGCCAATCAGTGGAGTGACTGTAGTATTGATGTAACATGTGCACTCCTGGATGTTTCTGTAACTAGTCTTAGATGCTGTGTTTTGAACCAACTGGAGAGTACAAACTTGGTACAGAGGTAGCCCAACATAAAGCATATTGCAAAAGTCCAATCTTGAGGTTACCAGCACATGTACTACCATCTTTAGGTCCTTGGATTCTAAGATGGCCTATCAGCCAAAGCTGGTAGTAAGCACTACTGGCCGTCACTTCTACCTGGGCTGACATTTGAAGAGACGGATCCAGGAGCACTTCCAAGCTGTGAACACAGTCTTTTTGCGAACACCCCATCCAGAACTGGTTGAAACACCTCCAGGACCCTTAATGGCAAGCAGCTCTGTCGTATTCTAATTTAATTTCAAGTTGTTTTTCTTCATCCAGTGCGCTGGATGAAGGAAAACTGGTAAAGTTATTCTAATTAAAATTCAAATGCTAGGCAAATTATTCAAATTCAAATGTGCCACAGAGCAGTTTGAATCTGGGGCTGATGACTGGACAGACCAGGATTACATTAGCCTTTTTGGGATATCACCTCATCTTCCATATCACTGC